CCTCAAAAAATAAAGGCTGGGATTTGTTCCAGTGCCTGTTTTGTAGTTGGAGAATCCTGTCATATATTCCATGCAGCCAGTGTTCAATTTCCATCTCTCACTTGCCACCTGCAGAGAAAAGTTCTGAAATACATGAAGTTTAAATCCTTATCCATAAATACTGAAGTCCCTTTCTTCCTATAAGCAGAAATGATTTGTTGTTTCTCTGTTTTGTTTTGTCATCTTAAGATAATGCACATACATTTTCCACAGACTTTAAAACTAAAGGTTCCTTCCACATTAATGGTTCCTTTCCTTTTTTTTTTAAACAGCAAAACAAAAATGCATGAGATTGGTAATAATTGGGTTGTGTTGGTAGGTTTACTACTTTTGTCTGCTTCCTATAACCACTGAACTCCATATCCTCCAACTATTCAAAAATCTTCCACTGGTCAAGAACATAACATAAGAACAGCCATACTGGGTCAGAACAATGGTCCATCTAGCCCAGTATCCTGTCTTCCGACAGTAGCCAATGCCAAGTGCTTCAGAGACAATGAACAGAACAGGTAATCATCAAATGATCCACCCCGTCGCTCATTCCCAGCTTCTAGAAAACAAAGGGTAGGACACCATCCCTGCCCATCCTGGCTAATAGCCATTGATGGACCTATCCTCCATGAATCCTCCATGTCCAAGGGACACACACTGCAAGGTTGCTTAGATTCCTAAATGTTTCCCAAGTTTGGAGGATAGACATCCACCTTAATGAAGAGTTATTGTTAAATAGGTATAAAATGTGTTTTAATAACCTTGCTCAATTTCAGGAACTTCTCTAAAACAGAGGACATTTTTCTAGAGATGTCAGATAATAAACTTCCTTAAAAGACCTCCTAATCTGAATCATCCCTCTTATCTTCATCAGGACGTTGGATTGAAACTTATTCTTTCAACCACTCCTCAGCTGTCTGATGGTCATTTTTTCCATCATGAAGCCTCCTGACTTTAAAAAGGAACATTACTCATATGGAAATATGTCTGACCTCAGCCAAAAGATAGATGAAGACAATGGGTAATAATACACCCAGTATAAATAAAGGCCAAGTTGGTGAAGTTTAAACACCAGCATTGCTCTATATGTTCAGCATCAGAGAAGCTCCATTCTCATTCTTTATTTCAGTTTTTTCACTCAGTATCCTGCTTTGTCCACATTGTGGAACTATTCCAGAAATATACATTTTTGTGACTTCACTATTAAAAATTAATGTTAAAAATGTTAAAGGAAAAGTACCTCTGTTAAATCAAAGTTAATGTGAAGAAATTCAAAAAAGTAATGCTTACTCTTTATCAAACCCACCACCATCATACCTATCCATCTACAGCCAGCACTTAGTACCAAGATGTCTCACAAGCATTGATGAATTTATCTTCACAACACCCACGTGAGGAAATGAAGCTTCACTATCTCCATTTTATAGAAGAGGAACAAAGGCATCGAGGGAGGTTAAGAGTGACTTTCCCAGTGTCACAAAGAAAGTCTGTGTGACTGCAATAAATTAAGCTCAGATCTCCTGAATCCTGCTTAAGTGCCTAAGCCACAAGGTGATCCTTCCTTCCCTGGATTGAGTCTCATCCAGCTACTTTTCAGCTACATTCCATTTTCCATCATATACTGAGACAACTGGGAAACAACACTGTCCATGCTTGATAAGAAAATAATGTGGAGCTGAGCATTAATCACGTATTGAGGACATTGCAGCAGTGGAATCATGGGCTGCATGTAGGTGGATCCCTTTTCAGTAATGGGGCCTTTGCCCTGTAATTAATAATTTATTCTCTGCTTTTTCTTGATTTCTTTCTTGTACTGTGTACAATTTTTTAAAAAAGAGAATAAACTATGTGCAGAAAAATGTAATACTTCTTTGTGTACAGAAGAATTGGACAAAACCACAATATTAAAAAGCAACATTGCAGGAATAAATTGGAACATTTGAATTAGCCCTATTGACTGCTTTCATTTTAACATCTTTACAAAGTCGTAGAACCATCAAGAATCATTTGTAAGCACAGGGTAATAAGATGACATGCTCATTAGGATAGGCAATTGGTTCATTTTCAGCAATTGCTTGACCTCATCAGCTTGACATTTTCAAACCAGCATTGGTTGTAAATGCAGAAAGAAGAAAAAGAAACTAACTGAAGGGACCTGTTTTCGGTGTACCACCATGTTAAGTATAGGGCTACCTAGAAAGCTTAAGTTTTATGCAAGTCTCTTCAGTTTTGTCCAATAACCACACATCTTGGAAAAAATAAACAAAGAATATCACATGAGATTAAAACTCATGATATCTGATCTAGTTTTCAACTGCCAGCAATGAGCACAGAGAGCCACTCAGAAAGGGGATTGTAAAGACGGCTTTAGTCCACATTTGTATTCCCGCAATCCTGGGCGGGATATGAGCTGTGCCAGTGCCCCAGCATAACTGAGGCTTTGTCAACACACAGTCTTGCACTAGTTAGTTAAACCAGTGCAAATGATTGTGTGGACACATTTATTTCAGTATGAGTGGCTTTTTTGGTTTAACTTGAACCTGTTTCTAACTCACGAACTAAACTGAAATAAACCTGGTGTAAACCGAAATAAGAGTCTCCAAACAGTCCTTTGAATCAGTTAATCTAAGTAAGTTTAAAATCCCATTTTAAATTAAACCCATGCAATTTTATATGTAATCAATCTCTTCAAGCAGCTTCAAGGCTGTTCTAAAGCAGCATTTTTCAAAGTTCAGGTTGCGACCCAGTACTGGGTCGCGGCATGTAAGGCACCGGGTCGCTCTGGTAAGCACTGCCGACCGGGATGTTAAAAGTCCCGTCGGCAGTGCTGCCCAGCTAAGGCAGGCTAGCGCCTAACTGTTCCGACACCACGCTGCACCCCAGAAGTGGCCAGCAGTGGGTCTGGCTTCTAGGCAGGGGGCTCTGCGCACTGCTCCCACCCTGAGCACCGGCTCCACACTCTCATTGGCCAGTTCCCAGCCAATGGGAGCTGGGGGGAGGGGCAGTACCTGCGGGTGAGAGCCACGTGGAGCCACTTACGTGCCTCTGCCTAGGAGCCAGACCTGCTGCTGGCCACTTCAGGTGTACCACGGTCCACGGTGCCAGGACAGGCGGGAAGTCTGCCTCTGCACGCCAGCTGTGCCACTGACCGGGAGCTGCTGGAGGTAAATCCATGCCCCAATCCCATACCCCAATCCTCTGCCCCAGCTGTGAGTCCCCCCCAAACCCTTCATGCCCAGCCCCACCCCAGAGTTTGCACCCCACAGCCCAGAGCCCTGACCCCCTCCCACACTCCAACCCCCTGCCACAGCCCCAAGCCCCCCCCCCAACCTGGAGCCCCTCCTGCACTCCAAACCCCTCATCCCCAGCTGCACCCCAGAGCCTGCACCCCCAGCCCAGAGCCCTGACCCCCTCCTGCA